ATTGCAATAATCTCTCAATCATAGAGATAAGTTATTTTTAAAACATTTCTACCAGTGCGTACAAAACTTGCAGTCCTCATTATGTTGGGCAACTCTATCAAAGTACAAAGAGGGCTGCAGTTGGGGAGAGGGGGAGTAATACTAAACATTTTTTAAACATCCTAACTTAAACTGGGGTAGACAGCATCTAACAAAGCAATAATTTTCAGATTCCTTTCAACAACTGCAAATGAGGGGAAAAAACAGAGATAAAACACTGCATAATGTAAAACAAAACAAAAACAAAAACAAAAAACCCCAACCAAAAACCCATTCTAACATACCGGAACATCCCCAAATTACACAGGCATCAGTAGTCCATCTAAAGCCAACCTGCATATACATGAAAGAGCAAACTCTCAACCTGCATTTAAAAAGACCGCAAGGATTAACAGACATTAATTATCTTACTCTAAATGCAAGTTACTGACTTTTGTTTTAGAAGACCCCATCTAGTTCACTAATTGATGGATGACCATTAATACACCTGTATTTGCATTTCCGCGGTAAAAAGACAAGCAGGGTTTTCAACACAGAAGAGAACCACTTTGCCAAGTCTTTTCAAAACGTCAATATGCTTCAATTAATACCAAAGCTGAGAGATTCCTCTTGATTTCCAAAACTGTCTAGGTGGCCTGGGTGGTTTTCTGCCGGCAGCAGCCTCCTACCTTTAGTTTGTGTGCCTATATCCACGAGGGGGGATTAATTAGCCGGGTTGGAGCTGAAGGAGGCTGTCGTGACGAGCCCAGTGGCGATTGGCCGCCAGCCTGCCTGGCCCTGCCTTTATAATTTCCACACGAGTGCATCTGGGCTCTTAGACAAACCAACAGCAGCTTCTTCTGACATATACACACGCACACTCACCCCCGACACACTCAGCACACTTTTCCTCCATCTGATTAACAGTCCAGCACACACAATGATTACGGGAAAGCGTAAATAAATACGGAAAGGGTTGATTATTTTGACTACTGGAAGAGCTTTGCTGGGTCTCAGCGCAACTTTTGTTTTCATTACTGAGAAGGTGATCTCTCCATGCGTTTCTCTCACACAAGGATTCTTTAAAAGAGGAAGAAAGACCGAGAGAGGGGGGAGAACAATCTTTCACTTTAAGACCATCTGGGCTCAAAGATAAAAGGAAGGGGAAAGCAGCGGCTAGGACTCCACCGGGGCAACACATCGGAGAGCGTTCTGATATATTTCTGAGCGCGGCGGCCCGTTTCTCCACCGAAGTTGGCTCCAGCTCTAGCAGCCGCATTGGATCCCACAGCCTACTGCGAGACTCCGGTGTACAATCCGGATCTCTGCCCCAACATGATCGCGGCCCAGGCCAAGCTGGTATACCATCTGAATAAGTACTACAATGAGAAATGCCAAGCCAGGAAAGCTGCCATTGCGAAAACTATCCGGGAAGTCTGCAAAGTAGTTTCCGACGTACTTAAAGAAGTGGAAGTGCAAGAGCCCCGGTTCATCAGCTCTCTCAACGAGATGGACAATCGCTACGAGGGCCTCGAGGTCATCTCCCCCACCGAATTTGAAGTGGTGCTTTACCTTAACCAAATGGGGGTGTTCAATTTTGTGGACGACGGCTCGCTGCCCGGCTGCGCGGTGCTGAAGTTGAGCGACGGGCGCAAGAGGAGCATGTCCCTCTGGGTGGAATTCATTACCGCCTCCGGCTACCTCTCGGCGCGCAAAATCCGGTCCAGGTTTCAGACTCTGGTGGCTCAAGCCGTAGACAAATGTAGCTACAGGGATGTAGTTAAGATGGTGGCAGATACCAGCGAAGTGAAACTGAGAATCCGAGATAGGTACGTGGTGCAGATCACCCCGGCTTTTAAATGTACCGGGATCTGGCCAAGGAGTGCTGCCCACTGGCCACTTCCGCACATCCCCTGGCCAGGACCCAACCGGGTGGCGGAGGTCAAAGCGGAAGGGTTCAATCTCTTGTCCAAGGAGTGCCACTCCCTGGCCGGCAAACAGAGCTCGGCCGAGAGCGACGCCTGGGTGCTGCAGTTTGCGGAAGCAGAGAACAGACTGCAGATGGGGGGCTGCAGAAAGAAATGCCTCTCTATCCTCAAAACCTTACGGGATCGTCACCTTGAACTGCCAGGCCAGCCCCTGAACAATTACCACATGAAGACTTTGGTTTCCTACGAGTGTGAAAAGCATCCCCGGGAGTCGGACTGGGATGAGTCTTGCCTGGGTGATCGGCTTAACGGGATTTTGCTGCAACTTATCTCCTGCCTGCAGTGCCGGCGGTGTCCTCACTACTTCCTACCGAACTTAGATCTGTTTCAAGGCAAACCTCACTCGGCTCTGGAGAACGCTGCCAAACAAACGTGGCGGCTGGCAAGAGAGATCCTGACCAACCCAAAAAGTTTGGAAAAACTTTAGAGGACAATTTCAACAAGAGCCGAAATGTGATTACTCTTCTCAAAGACCTGATTCAGTGCAAAATTCCTGTTGGATTCCTAATATTCCACTTGTCAGTGCAAACAATCTCTTCCTTAAAAAGGAGTAACAATACAATGTTTAGGCATCATCTCACCCACCCCTCCAAGGGGAGAAAAAGAAGTAGGGAAAGCGGATGGAGAAAAACCCAAACCCACAAGTATTAGAAGACTTCTTTACAAAGGATTTCCTATCTCCCTTGAAAAGTACACAGTAACACCCGGAAAACAACCCGGCTGTAATGCAAGACCACAGTGAACACTCTGCCTAACTATCAAAGGATTATAGCAATCCTGGTGATTTAGGTGCATCTGTCTGTGAGTAAACACGATTTGGATATGCCATCTGAAGGAAAGTGTAATGTATATTTTGATTTGTAACAAATATTGTGATCTCACATTGTCTTTGAAAGTGTGGATGTTGGTGTTTTGTGATTTGGTGAACAGAAGTTACATTGCCGTTTTGGAGACTTCCAGACAGTTTCCACTAACAAAGATACCATTTAAAGGTAGATTTCCTCCTGGTACTTTTATCTGTCTTTGAAAGTGTCTGAACTTTAAAAAGTTTACATTTTGTTTCAAATATAATGCTTATTCTATTTCTAACATTCCATAAATATACTTGAAATGTTATTTAAATATATTCAAAGAAATTTGAATTCAGCTTATATAATAACGCTTGAATATCTGAATTATATATTTGAAAAATGCACTTGAAATACACTGGATAACTACTTTTGTGATTTAGATTTTAATTTCTGTTGCTGGTTTTTATTTAATTAGAAGCTAATAAATGAAGTAAAATAAAAGTTGTTGTGTCTCACTTTAAATTGTTTTTCTATCAAAAGATGTAATGCTCCATTTTGAAAACTGAACCCACTCGAGTATTTTAAACATTTTGAGGAGTATGCTAATGAAATAATTAAAATTAAACCTTAATATCCTGAAGAAAACTCTTTGTACAGCTACAGAAGATAATGATTTACTTATAAGACTATTTCTACAACGGACACATTTAAATCTACCCTGGAAAGCTTGCTCTGGATTAGTACTTCTGTAGCATTTTCGATAATATAAGGAAAAAATATGTCATGGCGGTACAGACTGCTGAGTTAAAAATTAGACTAACTCAGAAAAAGTGAACTTAAAGTCATAATGAAATTTCAAAATTTGTATAACTATGCTAATCAAATAAAGATTATTTCTGACCATTTTATGTCAAATCCTATGTTATGCAGAAAAAGTGTTCCATTAGCTGAATAAGTTCATCAGAAATCTAAAATTGCTTTTGACTTCACAGGGCAAGCTAATGATAAAAGCGTAAAGACAAACTTTCAATTATTTAAAAATCAAATACACTACATTCAAACTCATTTTCAACGTTCCATCCTTTGGGAGCTGGTAGTGCAAGAAGTCCTATGACTGTCCTTACAAGTATTTTAATTGTCAACAAGTGCTGAGAGTGCTAATCACCTGCAGGCCTTAAGGTAGGTAGTTAATTCAGGCAGGGATGGATTTTAGAATTTCAGTTCCTCTTCTACAAATAGCGGTTTATAATAGTTTATGTAAAAATGACATAAATAATAAAGTTCTGGATCTATGGGCACACTTGTCTTTGATGATTTTAGAATAATTTCTTCTGATAAATACTGCAAAGGAAAATCTTTGTAAACTGATGCTTGAATATCTAACATGACCCTTGAATTCTTAACCTCAGAAAAAATGTTTACAAACCGCACAGTAACATAAAAGTTAAAACAACAAGCAAATTGGTTTCAATAGAAAGTGCAGAGGTGTAGAGCTGTCCTAATATCAGGTTTTAAAATCTACACGGTAAGATATAATAAACAAATAAATATTTATGTATTTCAAATTGTCCAAATAGGTGTTTTTCTGGCATTACACCCACAGAAGAACACAAACTTTAAACATCTGATTGCTAGTATATACTACCTATATACGTTTTAAATCAACGCTTCTCAGAGAATCAGTTTCTCTTACTCTTAAATTCACATGTAAAACTCATTCTTATTTCAGGAGATGAAAAATGGATGTAATAATGGAGATGAATTTCTATCTAAATGCTCCCCCCCCCCCAGTTTCCTTACAACCTTTCAATGAATAATAACTCACATTGCAATTTACACTTTTGGAAATTAAAAGTCATCTTAAGATATTTCAGAAGACCCCTCCTGGTCTTCCCAGAGAGCCTGGGATACTGTACCCCCGAGACTTTGGAACAATTGGCTTACCTACAAAATTTACCCAAGTGCACACAAAGGCACTCATGGACAGACTGTCATGTGCATGCTCTGGTAACACAGGATTTGAAACCATTAATATCTTCTTCAATCCCATAAAAAAGAGCATGTGTTATTTCATTCATTTTATTTCCTATGACAAAAATGGAAATGTGCTCCCCTCCCCCACTGTCATTTAAAACCAAGCAAAACTGAAAACCACTTCCTGCCACAAAGCCACTAGTACTGTATACGAATCACTCTAACTCACTTTCGTGTCGATCTTCTTGAAGGCAGGATCATCCTCATCTACCTCGAAGTAGATTTCTGTCGTGGTGATGGAGAGAGTCCCCTTGGCCACCACCACAGGAGCGATGAGCTGGGCTGGGGTACTGAGAACCACTGGGCCTGAAAGACAAGGGCACCGGAGTCAGGCTCAGTCCCTGTGGCCCTCTCCCGCTCCCTCCCAAAGGGTGCGGCAGGTCTTTATTTTTAAGATGCGCTAAGAAAATGGTGCCTGGGTAACGCGGCCAGCGTCTTTCATGTGAGATAAGGTCTGCTTAGCTCTTGCACATTATCTTATATAAAGATAAATAATTCCATAAAACCCCATGAGGTCAGGATGCCGAACAAGTGACCCTTAGCAAGCGAGTTAGTAACCTCCGCCTAGAAATCCTACAAATGCTCCGATTCTCCATGGAGCACCGCCGGCTTTCCGAGAGACCGTAGGCAGTCAGCACTGCCCCCAAAGACCAGCCATCGTGGTAAAGCCGTTCCACTCGGCAGCGGCGTTCCCCAAGGATGGGCGGGAGGATGTGAAGGGGTATAGGATCTAAATATATAAATTCCACTGTACTAACGGGTTTGCATCTTGCAGGAAGATTAATACCGGCGTCCTAAGGCGCGCCACATCCACATACACGCATACAAGGATATTAAGTGCATTTCTTCTGTAGAAAAGAACAAAAATCGTAACAGTGATCTTCTCACCGACAATCAGTCAAAAGGGATGAAATTGTAAGACGCTTGAACAAGAAGATTCTCAGAAAAGCGTCTGAAAAGTACTATCTCTCAACTTTAGAAACTAGAGAAACTAATCTTCAGTAAAAGAGTTTAGAAAGTGTGCCTACTGAGGTGCTTACTTGGAATTCCCTCAATCTGAGTAAATGTTGAAAATTACGTATTAGAATATAAATTCAAGGATGACTTAAATGCCCCTTTAAGACATTCTTTGCTATCCTGTACTTAAAATACAGACAAGGAAATCAGAACTTATTTTCTCTTTCTTTTTCTCTTTTTCTATCTTCCTTCCTTTCTCCACCCCCCCTTTTTTGTAGCAAGGGCGCATTATGTTCCCTTTCATCCTGCCCCCCGCCCTGAAATGCATATAGTTAAATGAGTCACAATAACAGTAGGATAAAGGCAATAAAAAACCAGGTCTCTTGCAGCCGCTCAGGCTCGGCCCCTCCGCGGCAGCTCCTTGCCGTGAGACCGGCTGGTACCGCCACCGCCAAGGCCACTGTTAGCAGGCCCGACCCGGCCAGGCGCGGGGACTGCAGAGAAGTTCACGTTTTCAGGGAGTAGCCCACACCAAATCCGCGACCGTCCTGCACAAAGCCGGGCCGTTTCTGCTGCGGGAGGCACACTGAGGAATCGGCCGGCTTCTGTCGCGCTGAATGGGGTGGATAGGAAGCAAACTGTGTCAGTGTCAGCCTTCACCCCCGATCGTGACCGCCTGGCTCAGACCAACGCCAAGCCCCTTCTTTTAGTTTACGGCTCTCGGTCCCCCAGGAGCCCGCACTGGGGGGCCCGGCCCCTGGGCGCGCCGACTCCCGGCCTGGGTTTCCGCCGCGGAGCCGAGCGGAGTCGGGGTCCATCTCCGCTACACAAGGTTTTTCTTTCCAAAGGGCGAGGCGGTCGATCTGAAGCGCCACTTTAAAGGCTCATCAATCTTAATCTAGGTTGCTCAAGTAATTATGCCCGAATCTCTTGTACGATTACAAGTGGATTTGGGTTTCTATTCCCCAGGCCCTCCTTTGTGTTTATTGGAGGGTCTGTGCGCGCGCTCCGCGGCGCCTCCTGCCTCCCGCGCCCTCCTCGGAATCCCCCAACGCTCGGGCCGGTTCGAACCGCTCCCTTAACCCTTCAGCCACCAGGACGCTCCTTTGGATGCCACTTTTCACATTTCCTTATGGAGAAATCCAAAATCCAAATTACTCTTGATTGGAGCGAGGTGAGAAAGAAGGTACTGTGACATCGAAAACAGTGTCTTCTTATACGTCGTTGGGCCTTGCTAAAACCTCAGGAAAGTCGTCATTCTATACACAGGCCGCTAGTGATTTCTGGTTTAATAGAGGTTTCTGGCATTTGGAGGCGTAGAATGGTCACAAACATTTAAAATGGCGAACTATTCCTTTCTCTTAAAAAGTAATTTAACATATCCAATTAAGTTGGGGTGACATGAAAAAGAATCACTAAAACACATTATCAAAACCATACACTCTGATTTACTGAAATATATTATGACTTTTTAAGGACACATTTCCATGAACTTTTAACGGGGAACACATTCTCTCTACTTAATTCTCTGCCTTTCTGAAAGGAGACTGCGCTTCTGATTGCTTTTACTCCAATCTCATTCTACTGAATTGAGATTTTCTGGGGGTTTATAAAAGGACTTTGAACTGGTCCTTCTTTAAGAAAGAAGCATCATGAAATATTCAACCTTCATAGTGTGTCATTTTTACCCCTGTCCTTTGGAAATCTCCAATTATAACTTCCAATTCCATAGCATGTTTAAGGAGCACTGCGTCTTTTTGTTGTAGCCTTCAGGGAGCAAACCAGCTGCAGAGAGAATACAGAGTTAAACCCACTACAGCAATAGAGAGAGCGGATTATGTTTTAATCCCTTTTGGGGGAGTCTCTGGATTTTAGGGATCTGATATTAAAATGTTTACATAAGGCACCATCACAAACCAGCAGATCTTCCATGGAAAGCCTGGGATCTCTGTCCAAATAAAAATAGGTTAAAAAGGGCAGCATCTCTGGATGCCAGAGAGATGGCGAGGTAGCAGATTCTGTCCTAGAAGGTAACTGGGTACAAATTTAACCTCCTAACTTTGCTTGGTGTAGTGAGTGCAGGACTGAATGTAGATATATCCATTCCAATCACTACTAGAGCAATAAAAGGATACGTTATAATCATGTTCTCAAGCACACATTGAAGTAAAGTGATGGCTATTAAAGGGCAGTTAAACAAATGGATGGGACCAAACTTCCTCCCCTGTACTGAGGCATACAATACAGTTGTTTAAAATTCCACCATGTAAAGTGGTAACTAAAGGAACAATAAGTGTTATTTACTTCTAGCACTGGCAACATAATGTTTAAGAAATATTGACCCATTACTATTTTTGAAAGGATAGGGATATTACTTGACATTAATTTAAATGCTAATTTAAAATCTGAACTAGAACAAAGATCACCCAAGCATAAGGAAAAGAATCTTCAAATGAATGAACTTCTCTTTAGAGTCACAGCATCTTTAATCAGTTGAGATGGTAAACCTAGAGTCGAAAGTACATGTTTTATATTTAAAAAGGGAACTATTCATCAAATATATTTTAAAAGTAGAATGTAGAAAAATACTTGTGGATTTGGAGGATTCTACTGAAAACAAAATTCCAAGTCTGGAGATCTCACTAATACATCAACTCTTTAATAGAGCTTTATAGTTTACTAGGTTCTTTTATGTGATTTTTACTTAATCACCAGTTCAATATTCACAGTTTTGGGGGCTATGGATGTGTCAATACTTTCCTGTCAAAGATCACCAGGAACACATCTGTAGTTGAAAAGGTTGGGTTTACCACTCATCGCAGTGAGGGAGACACAGGCAACTTAGTAAGGGTGTCAAGAAGGACTTTTGTAGGATCGAAGCTTTGGTGAAGTGATTCTGGGAAGGGTTCAAGGAGCATGGCTTTGCTCTGGATTGGGCTCTGTCAGGAAGCAGGGATAATTCTGCGATTATGGGTCTTAATAAATCTCATTTAGAGGGAGGGAGGACCTGATCTAGGCTAACGCTCTAGTTAGCAGAGAAGCGGTCATCCTCATATTAAACAGGGCATGGGGGGATGTTTAGTATTCAGGTGGTCTGCAGAGTGACCTTGCTTTTGTCTTTGCTTCCACTAAATTATAAAGTTGTTTTTTGCCTCACATCATCATCACGAGACCTTGTCTGATCCTGGTGTTCTGGGAGGTTGTTTATGATTAACAGGAGAACACCAAAGCCTAGCTGTGAGCTCCAGGCGAGCTTCCTTATAAGGGTCAAGTTAGTTTCCAGAGGTCAAGGACTGCTTTTCTTTTTCTCACATACAGAAATTAGTCATTTTTTTAGGGGTGTCAATAACATTCTAGGTATTAACAGACAATTATGGCAATTACATTTTCAAACAAGGCTAGGATTTTTATGAATTTCAATATAAAGTATAACAAAGAGTATACAGGGACAAAGAGTTGAAGTTTAATTAAAATTGGCATCATTACAATTATTTGATGAATTTCAATTGGCCAAAACTATATTTAGTGTACATGAAGTTACAGTGTATTTTAGAATCACTTGAATACTTTCTAAACTTAGTTTAATATTAATAAAAGTTTTATTAACTATATAGATTTTCTCTGACCTCAATTACTTCAACACCACATGCTCAATTTGCTTTAGGAACACTTAAAAGACAATTATTGGGGAATAATAAACATTGACTAATCTTTATAAATTATTAAGCTTAAAATCCTGACATTATTTAATCTGAAATCCTTTGTGTTTAGTGCAAAAGTATATCATTCAAAAAATTTTTAAACAAAAATATAATGAAGAAATAATTCTTACAATTATTTCTATACTGTGATACAATTTATAGGAAAATTACTCCTAGCATGAGTGACTGAACATATGTAAAGTATCTACGTGCATTGCACTTCTATCATTTTTAAGTATGGCAATATAATTTAAAGGAAACATTTCTCGGGGCGCCTGGGCGGCTCAGGTGGTTAAGCGTCTGTCTGCCTTTGGCTCAGGTCAGGACCCCAGGGTCCTGGGATCGAGTCCTGCATCCTGCTTCCCCTTCTCCCTTTGACCCTCTCCCCTGCTTGTACTCTTGCTTCTGCTCTCTCTCTCAAATGAATAAAAAATCTTAAAAATAAAGAAAATATTTCCCCCATAGAATTAAAAGAATAACACGCTTTAATCTCAAAACAACTTAAAAAGAAACCAATGAAGAATATGAAAAAGTTGGAACTTTGTTTTGAAAGTCTAGGAAAGCTTTAGGCACAAAGAAAATGGAGGTGTTTGTGTGTGCCTGGGGGAGAGGGAGTTGGGAGAAATGCTGCAGAAGATCTGAGATTTC